CATGCTGTGAAATGTTTGCAATGTGCAGTTGCTAACAGGGGTCGGTGAGACAAATCTCAGACATGGTTTGCGTCCCAAACCTAGGCAGTTTTATTCCATGGTTGTTACAGTAACTTTAGGCAGCTGAGTGGAGAGACTGGGCACCTCTCCTTTTCCAGACTCTGCACAACCATTCTCCACAACTTGTAGTCCCACCACTATTGCCAGCTCACCCTTCCCATCCCATTAAGACATTAGTTGCACTGTAGAAGCCATTAACATGTAAGAAGTTGCTCCTTTCTGTCTCCTGACCTGTGCTGCTGTGTGAACATATCACAAGCAGCAGTTTGCTCTAGGGCCATACACTACCTTTTTTAATGTAGCCTGAGCTTGCCCCCACCCCACACACACACATTTCAGCCAGGCTTCCCAGCCATACCTCAGGCTCACCCAGTTCATCTCCCCCACCAACTGGACCCCTTCCCCCACCCACTCTGTCACCCACAGAGGGACAGAGCCCTCCCTATCCCTGCTTACAGGGGGGGCAAGAAGAGGGGCTGATACACCCTGAGAGGTTTCGCCTGGGATGCAACTTGGAACTGGGGTATTGCTGATCCCTCTTTCTTACCAGCCTGGGCTCCCTCTCACACTGTGAGAAGCTGCAAAGCCCTCCAAGCTTCCCTCCCACAAACAGCCACAGGCAGGGACCGCACCCAGTTCCATTAATGAATACTCCTGCTAGTCACTGCATGAACCAACAATAGAGAGGCTCCAGCCAAAATACCCTAGTTCCCTAGCCTAGGATGCTGGAGCTTCTCCTGTCCCGCCCTGGTCAAAAGCCTGACCAGTATATAAGGTGTTACTCAGTCTGCCACTTCTACAAAGGAAAGTGGACATGCACCAACTTTTGTTCCTGAGCTGAGATTTTCCCCTAAGCACTACACTCAAACCACACTGTTTTAGGTAAAATGTGTATATATAGATATAGATAGATAAACTACAGAAAGATTATAAGTGATAGCAAACAGATCAAAGTAGATTACTTAGCACAAACAAAAATGCAATCTAAACCTAATATACTAGATAGGATTTGAATCAAGCAGTGTCTCACCCTGTTCGATAGTATAAACAATTCATCCAGGTTTCATACACAAGCAGGTTTCCTTCTTTCCTGCCTGGCACAAGCACTTCCCTAGTTCAAAGTCTTTGTTCTTCCAGCGCTATTTACAGGTGTTGAGTTGTGGGAAGAGTGAGGCCAATTGGTGATATCACCTCCCCTTTTTATAACTTTTTCCATATGGTGGGAACCCCTTTGTTCCAAGCCAAGTTCCCAACACAGTTTGTGGACAAATACAGGTACCAACATGGAGTTCAGTATCATGTGATCTCATCACATGCCCTTGCATGCTTTGATGAGTCATGGCAGCCATTATTTACAGGCTAATTGAAGCATCCAGAGGTGAGGATAAGCTTTTCCTTGGTCCATATTCTTTGTCAATGGGCCATTCAACTTGAATATTCCATTCACAATGTGCTGGCCAGACTGGATGCAAATTACCCTGTGGGTGTTACCACAGGAGCAAACACATTTGAAATACAGGTATACAGCCAATATCCATAACTTCAGATACAAAAATGATACATTTATACAAATAGGATAATCATATTCAGCAAACGGTAACGGACACCTCACATAGCTTGTATAAGATGCATCATAATGATATCCAAATCTTATCACTATAATGGCTATGGGGTGCACTGTTACAGACAGTCCCCCATATCCTGGCTCCCACATAGGGGCCAGAGATAGGGGATAGCCCCCTGGGCCCAGCTTACATGGGGACAAGGAGAGTCCCCCTGAGATCCTGGTATAGACACAGAACCAGGGAACGTGGGCCTGACAGGTGCCCCCCATCTTTCCCCCTCACTTTGCCACCCCTCCATTTTAATCCCCCCCACTGCTCCACTCCTCATCCCTACCCACTCCCCTGACCCAAGCATGCCAACCCCTCTCCCCTAGCACCCATCCACCTTTACCCCCTCCTAGGGTGACTAGACAGCAAAAATGAAAAATCGGGACGGGGATGGGGGGTTATAGGAGCCTATATAAGAAAAAGACCCAAAAATCGGGACTGTCCCTATAAAATCGGGACATCTGGTCACCCTACCCCCTCCTCATAATTTCCTTTTCCCTCACTGCAGCTCCACATCCTCCTCTCCTCTACTACCTTATGCCCACTCCCCTCCCAGCAAGTGTTTGCATGTGTAACTTATTTTCTTTTAAAAATAGCTCAAACACCTTCTGAATGTTCAACTGTACACTGATCACATTTCCCCCATAAAAAAACAAACAAAAAACAAACAAACAAACATTTGAGAGAGGCAGATTGTAGCAACATGCCTCCTTTTTTCAGATTTCTGCTTATGGTTGTAGTTGAACGCAGTACCTAGGTACACCAGTGATACCATCCCTGAAATATCCCCCTTGAGCTATGCAGGTCTTTGAATTGGGGTTCACTATCATCCTCTTCGTCTCTTTCTCTCTGCCTATGCTCAGTGTAATCCCTTTAGCTCAGGAGCATTAAGGATGACCCTAAAATGAGAGTTAAACTCTTTTGCTGCTAACGTTATGACTTTTGCTCCCTGTAGCAGGGCCCATTCCATGCTCCTGCCTTCTAATACCACAAAAACCACCCTGACTTCACTGGTTGTGTGTCCACACCATGCCATTGATTTATGTTCCCTCCACCAACAGCTCGACAGTCCCAGGCAGCAATGCTGTTTGCAGTGTCCTCTGGGCTTTCTGTCCTTCCCCTTGATCTAAGAGGAGCAGAGCTCCCCCTTCTCTGAGGTCTTTGTAAAACTAGGCAGCTACACATCTCTCCTCCCTTCATTTCCTTCTGTGCCTTTCTGATCAGTCTTGAATTGATGGGCTAATTGGCTCTTTAGTAATCACAACTAATTAGATCAGTAGTTTCCATTACCCCAGTCTGCCTTCTCCAGAGGAACTAATAGGTGTCAGAGTGATCAGAGCCCTGCTCACCTGTGAACTCCCAGCACTCTGTCGCACTCCCACATGAGCTACAGGGTGACAGTCACTCTGTGGGTAACTCTCAAGTGACTGAGACCCTCATGTAACGATCCTGGCCTTGATTTGAGGATCTGTGATTTCTGTGGGGGAAAATACATGGATAGAATTCATGGGCTTTAGGCAAACCATTGTTAGGGGCTGTACCTTAGGAACCCATGGTCAGTTGGATCACTAACCATCTTCAGCCATCAGTCCCACAAAGCACACCAAATGTCAAGGCAATCTGAATGACCATGTAGATTTTAGTGGCTCTAGAAGACTCAAGCGTGAACAAAAAGCTGATGTAAACCTTAGCTAGAGCAGTCCTGACAGTCCACTATAATCCTGAGGGA